CAAAAATACTGCCTCTTGGCAGCTGAAGAAAGGCATACACAGAACGGGAAAGAAATCCTCATTGCTAACGCCTGGACTCTTGGAAACAAAAAAATTTGACAAGACTGACCTCCTAACCTGAGTTCCTTATAATGCTTATCAAGTACTTAGGGGTTTTAATTTCTAAAGCTCCATATATACGAGTTAATTATCTTACTGTAATGGGGAAATAAGGGAAATTGATGACCCATAATACTCTGTCTTCAGCGAGTTTTTTTGTTTGGTTTTTTTTTGTGGGTTTTTTTTTAAGACAGCAGAATAGCTCATGAGTGTTGAATGCCTTCATTAACAGCATGGACACAGAGTGTTAATAGGATGGAATAACATGTACCTTCAGCAAGTCTGCAGATGACATTGAAATGAGGCAAGCAGTCAATGTGATGAAAGGCTGAGCTAACATTCACAGAGAGCTCAAGGAGCCAAAAAGCTCAAAAAATGGGCTTCCAGAAAACTCTTAAAGTTTAACAAAGGCAAGTACAAAGTCCTCCACTTGGGAAGGAATAAGTTCATGTAATAGTACAGGCAGAGGCTGGAAATACACACACCATATGGTCCACTCTCCTCAAGATCTTGGTTGGCCTCCTCTGGACTTGCTCCTGTCTGTCAAGTCTGTCTTACAGTTTGGAGGTCAAAGCTAGGCACTGTATTCTAGATGAAATCCTACAAGTGCCAAATAGAAGAGGATAATTACTTTCCTCAACTTCCAGTAATTCTTTCTTATTGCAGCCCTCTTCTGCCTTTATTGCTGCAAGGGTACATGGCTGACTCATGTTCGACTTTTCTATTTGGACTTCAGGATCCTTTTCTGCAAAAAGGATCCAATTTACTAGATCATGTTCTTCTCCATCACACAAAAATCATTCAAAAATGACAAGTTGAACAACCAGGATGGTGGCAGAGGAAGTTTAAGGTATTTTCCTGTAGTGAACATGACATACTTAGAGTTGGTAATGAAAAGGATAAAAAGCCCTCCAGTTTGTATGGAATAACTTTTCTCTTTTTTTCTTGTAAAGAAAATCTTACAGTCTAAAATTACAAGATCAATAGCTTCATAACATTCTTGCAAAACAAATTTCAGTTCTTACTTGACAATTAGGCTGCAATCAATAAAGCACTGGCCAAAATCCAGGTTTTCAGTACTCTGAAGATTAGCCAATAGGGAAAAGGGATGAGAGAAGATGGGGACATTTTACATGAAATAAATTAAATTTTGGCTGCTGTGCTGTTTTTCCCACTCAGGATGCTAAAGTTCAGTGAGCCCGAATTAGTGTTATCCAATCACTAATAGTCTGAAAATATTGCTGGAGTCATTATGACATAGCACAAGGAAAAGATAAAAGACTTCAATAATGCTTCTATCCCACTTCCTTAATTTAGAAACTAGCATGACAGAAGAAATGCATTTTATTTTTGGAGCAGATGAGAAGTGAAAGAGCACTGATGTACTACCAGCAGCATAAAAAGTACACGGGAGTTTGTGCTGTGAGACAATAAAGAGGAAATACTTAGGGAATGGATGCAGTTTTGCCATGTTGTTAAATCGTTCTGCACCTAATTTGTCATGCAGAAAGGCAGAGCATATTACTTTGACTAAAGCATACCAATTACCTGGTTACAGTGCTTGTGGGACTTGAGCTAACTTTGCATATTATTGTGCAGTTTTAACAAGTTACCCTGTTGCAGCTCAGGTCAGTGTTAGCTTACGATTTTGCCCGACACAGAGCAGATGTGTCCAAAGACAGTAAAATAGCACATACATCTAAACTCCAAGAAACCTCAAGCAGTTCTAAGTGTGATAGTAGGCAGTTTGCTGAGAAAAAAACCCAAAGAATCAGAATCCTATGAACCATCCCTCTCCAACTCAGTCATATTTTCCTCCTCTTTCTTTTCTTCTGGCCCTATTCTCACACCATTAACTTCAGAGTGGATCTGTTTGAAATGGAGAAGAGGAACATCCTACTAGCTACTATGTAAAGTGCCAGTTCATTTGCTGAATGACGGCATTGTCCCTTCAAGCCCTTCAGAGTAAAAAGGATCAGGAATTCAGCTTTCCTGCTTTCTGGACAAGTGCTTTAACTGCTAAGGTAGTTATAAAAATGAGGGCTTGACAACTACTATCAGTCTCGATGGAGTTTCAGGCTGGTATGTGTTCCTACTATTTTTTTAGTTGCATATCTAAGGCAGCTCCAATTCTTCACATTTGCTCATCACTATCAGTGTTTATACTTAAACCACTAATCATATGATGTCTCACCTGGCTCCTTCTCTGATGTAATGACTATAGAAAAGCTATACTCTAATGAAGTTTCACCCTCACGCCTCACCAATCTTTTCCTAGAAACTTTTAAAAGGTTTTCCCTCAACTCCTGGCTTCACAAGAGACTTAGCTGTCTCTTGACAGTCTCTCTACACAAACTTCTTCCTTTCCTTCTGGAGTATGCTATATACTGCTATGCTAGTAGTCTAGGTCTTTGATTTATTCTATGCAAACAGTACAAACAGTAGTGTATTCTGTATTGCTGGTTGTCACTCATTAAAAATAAAAAAAAAGTAATGCTATCAATGTGTATATTTCTAAAGTCTTTAAATTCACATAATTTCCAACAGCAGAAGCTTTCTCTTCACTTTGTAAACCAGAATCAATTTCTAAATAAAAGGAGTGCCAATAATAAAATGATGAAATGAAGACATGGAATGCTTTGTAGACTAAGACTTCATAGTCAGTTTGGGCTCCACCCCATTAGTCTGCATCACTGGACTGGAACAGAAGATAGTTTTTTTAAAAATTGAAGAAATACTGTACAGCTTATCCTTTCCCAGGTTTGAGCAGTGAGAAAAGAAATAACTTCTAGAGGCTCTTTGCCTGCACTCTGCACTCTTACGGTCAGAGCTCTAGCCTACTCCTTCCTAAAGCCATTCTTCACAGGCATAATATAACTTTTAGTCATTAATTCTTTTGTAACCACACTTCCTTGGGAGGATCAGCTTTCTAAAAGTTAAGTTTATAATCAAATCAGTAAGGGAGGTAGATGAAGTGATAAGTCAGTTACAATGCGATTATCTAACCACCACTACAGAATATAAATACATACGAGTCTACAGTTTCACACAGTGCCAGATATTAAAACAGATTGGGAAACATTTATAATAAGGACAATAAAGATAAAGACAACATACCTTTTTTAAAAAGTAACATCATGTCTGTGCTTTTGTTAGCAACCACGTTATTCAGTAAGGCAATTACAGTTTGCATTGTATTCCCAAGTATACTGCCTTGGTGTTCCTGCAAAAACAACCAGAAAAAACCCAAAATAAATATAATCTAGTTTTCCTTTTGCAAGGTTAGAAGACAACTCTTCCCTTCCAAAAATGCAGTAATACAAGAGCAGGCTCTCACTCCCTTGAAATTCAACATACACAAAAATATCTTTGTAAAAAATATCAATTTCAGGAAGCCAAATCTAAAATCTTGGACAAAAACTTCTCCCATGTTCTTTTGAACTGGTAGAGTTCCTAGTTAGGTCTAAAGTTTTAGGACTTTTAGAAACAGCATAGAGCTTTATCAGCCTAATCTCTATATATTCAGAACCAGCATAATTTCCCTTTGTACAGTATTTCTTTTATTAATGGTATTAATTTTAGTCTTTTCAATTTCAGCTTGATAACCCACAATAAGTCATAAAACTCTATTTGTTGATTTTTTCTGTACACTTTCATAAGTATAAAATTAATTGCACATTCACATTACAGATCTATTTCTGTGTTGAATTGTCTCACTTATCACAGAATGATGACTTTCTTATGCTTGATGATTGCTTCAGTGACTTATCACAATTTTCTGAGACTATACTGATAAGAGGATGGCATCAGGGTTTATAAAGAAATTTATTTTCCTCCGTTATAGTTAACACACTTGCACACTCAACATGAAAAGGGTGGATAACACAGTGCAATCAGAGCACTTATTTATTCACGGTAGTGACAGTAACAACTCACATAACTTCTAAGAAGCCCAAGTAGGACAATCTTTTCCAAATCTGAGTCTAGATATAAATTTAAGCCTGAATACATTTCAAATCTCTCTAGAAAGTTCAGGAAATATTTTCCATGCTTCCCTTTCCCATCAAATCTCTCAATATACTGATATCACTCAACTACTTCACTGCCACAGAATATGCCATCTATTCCGATCCATCTCCTGTCCGACACTATGCCTTAGAAAAAAGTTAAATTTTAAGTTGAAGAAAATGAAAGATTATTGGTCTGAAGTTAAGTATTTCAGACGACAAAAATTACTTCATGCATTCAATCAAGTCAAAGGAACACTCACCCTGAAAGTTCCTTTAGGCAATGAGCGCCAGTGGCCAAGAACAGTTTCTTTTCTACATCTCTTTGCTCAGGAATTTATGACCTTCTGTCTCAGATATATGCTTGAAAACAACAGCAGCAAGCTATCCTTCTTTGGGATAATCTTATTGACCATCTAAATACCATAGCTGGTGCAGAATTAGGCTGCTTGCCTGTTAGCCAGCAGCAATCAAAGAACATATTTCACTATTTTTCCAAGAATTCACTTCAGGTCAACACATGAATGCCACTCAGAGTGATTTCTCCAGTTTATAAGCCACTTTTTGGGTTGGGCCAGGACTAAGTCATCATCACTGCATTTCGGACAAGCCACACTATTTGAGTCCCTGCCTGGAAACATCATATAACTGGTTGCAAGAAATTCTCAAGTGAGACACTCCTGATTTTTATTTCTCAGCTAGCATGATAAAATTCCGGATGCTGTGAAATGCCTCTTCCTTGCCACTTTGGAAAGTCCTCTGTTACAGTGATATAAAGCATCATGCTATCTGAAGAACAAATGTTTTCCTTTAAAAATTTAACTACTGAAGGAAAGGTTTTGACAGGCAAAGGCTCAGATGATTGCTTTGAAAGCATTAATTTCTGTTTCTGCACTCAAAAACTAAAATTAAATGCTATTATTTCATGTAAATACTACTAAATATACATAAGACATAATACATAAACAGATTAAGAAATATATAAACATACACAGCCCTCTATTCAACTTGAGGCTGTATGAATTTTCTATTCATACTAGAGCACTTTAAACTGGATCATAAAGAGAAGAGCCAAGAAAGAGTGGTTCACAGCCTTTTGAAGGACTGTAGTTTCCTGCCAAACCCTAAAAAAAAAAGTATATATCCAACAGTCCCAAAGTTCTATTTACTTTACGTGGTACTTTGAGATGTCATAAATGATTTGTATAAATCATACAATAAATATCTGTTCCTCGGAAGGTTTAAAATACAGCCTGATAAATTTAAAAGCAATGTTGGAAAGTATAAACACTACACTCTTCAAAAGATAAGGTAACCAATACAGAAGAGAGATACCATAAAGCCATGGTACTAAAAATAAATTTTAAGTTATTTCCTACAGATAGCTGAGGGTAAGATAAACATTTTTTCAAAAGATTAACAACATGTTTATCTTATTAATTCTCCTAAATAACATTTAGAAAACAATACATTAAATAGTATGAATGACTATTTGTGTTATTGAAGATAACGATACTTACACTGAGAATGTAAAACTAATAAAAGCAAAAAAATCTGCAAGTGCCAAAATGAGAGCTGACTCAAATACTTGTTTTGCAAGTACAGTATCTCTATTACTGCCCATATATTAGAAGTAACCATCTTCTATTAAAATTCCATTTTGAGATATGCAATTACAAGAGAAGCTGGTAGGTGCTTACGATAGCAACCTTTTGCATTCCCCAGGTTAGTAGCATTAAAATGAAGCCACCTTTGCTTTTAACAGAGATCAATTATACTATGCATCCCTCTACCCGAAGGCTAGCACTGATGCTTTTGCTTGCATAAAAGCATATTTAACAAAACTTATCTTACTCTAAACGCATAGGAATTAGAATTCAAGACACAATGTAGATATTGAGGAAGGAAAGTGGTCTCTAAAATAATCTTACAAATGGTATACTCAGCTGTACTACTAGTTTTAACATATGTATCATAGATGGTTTTTGACAAGATACTAGGTTTCAAAAAGCTGCAGGTATGCTTTACTCATCTAAGTCATCAGTGATTGCCATTAGACTCAATTTTAGAGGTTTATATAAAAATATTTAACTTCTTCATAATCTATCAAGGAGCAAAGTTGATCTAATTTGTGTGCACAGCACCACAAACTGTGGACATTTAATGAACAGTGCACTTGACAGCTTTAATAAAACATAGCATTTGCCAGTAGAGACAATTAGAATTGAAGCAGCAAAATTTTAGTGTTTGGCAACACAGATGAAACAACTTCATTAAAATGTACAGCTTCAGCGAATAAAAGGCAGGAAAGCACTGGACCCTGAAGAATCAGCCTTCTCAAAACTAATTGCTTCAGTGCTTAAAAAGGACAGCTATGAAATACCAAGGGCATAACAAGGAAATACTAGTATAAAAAAAAAGGAACCAGAGAAGATAAATCAGGCTTTTCAAATAGGACTGCACTGTATTTAGGCCATTAAACTTTTCATTCTAACTTTGAAGGTTTGTACATTAACAAAAGAAATCAGTTGAAGTATGTTTTTTTTAAAGCCAGTTAGGTAAGAGGTTGTGAATTAGCAAAGTGGGAGTATGAATCTTGGCAAGATACTATGGCTAAAGCTGCCATTTCTCTTCCTTTAAGTGGATTAGAACTCAGAACAGCATAGGCAAACTGCAGTATTTTAATTACATTTTAGATGACAAAAGAGATAATTTGGGAGACTTCATATACATGCCTCCTACTCATATAGCTAAAAATCCACAAGAAAATGCACTAAATGTTATGTTTACAGATATGCTGTAATTAAATCTAAGGACCGCTATATACCAGAGTACTTAATGCAAGTTAGATAAATAAGGGGACATAACAAAGTGGAGGCTTGATTTTTCATACACTAGATCCACTGAAAGAAAAAAATTACAGAAATTAACCATATCCAAATTACATTGGCTAAAAGATGCCATTTTTACATTTTATAGTTGAGACAAACCAAAGCACTGATGCTAATAAGGATCTTTAACAAGAGCACAGTTTAATATTGCATTCAACCTAGCTTATTTTGATATACTGTATTACTTTGTACATATGAAATAGAGGATCAGAAACTTTTCTGGACTTAACAGTAGAACCCTTCTGTATGAAACAGTATTGTTAGCATGCAGCCTGCAAGGAACATTCACAACAGCATCCACGTCATTCTCCAATCAGAAGAGGAAGCCCACTGAAACAAATTTAATCCAGCTGTGTAGATAGTTGGCTAATCTAGTCTTTAACATTTTGTGGCTTTTGATGCATAAGACCAGTTATGCATAAACTGAAAGCTTATAAATATGGGTCTTGAACATTAAGGTAATACTGTCTTCCCTATTGATGATCTAAGCCAGAAGTAAGCACAGCCATGTCTCTTGCTACTCTGCTTTTTAAAGATCAGCTTTTTTCAAAAGCAAAGTTCTAACAGAGGTAATATTTTCAAATATTTTCCTCTGGTTATGGTCATACAATAAGAAGCAACTACTAACTCCTGTGTGACCTGCTCTAGGCTAACCTGCTTTGGCAGGGCAGTTAGATTAGATGATCTCCAGAGGTCCCCTCCAATTCCTACAATTCTGTGATTCTGTAATCTGGCAATGAATTATAGGAATAATCATGCTTCTCAGTTGTATCACTACAGTGATAGATTCAGTCCACACACGAAGATCAGAAGTCTTGCAACTTTCACAGAAATTTCTGTTGGAATATTAAGGAAAAAAAAAAAAAACCAACCAAGAAATAAATGTCCACTGTATTCTCAGTCACAAAGTCAGTTGAGGGCAGTGAAACAGTAGTAATTTTGAAGGACTGATGAAGGAGAAAGGATACCATTAATAAAAGCCTGGGATGTCAAGTACCAAGCAACAGAAAGCAGCAGAGTTAGTCTTAGATTTTGTTCACCTACCCACTGCAGCAGGCAATGTAAAATTTCACAAGACACTTTCTGAGAATTGTGAGAATTGTATCGATTTACAAGTGCATTCTCTTGCCATACCTAAGTTCAGACCTTCAGAGGCCTGACAATCATTCTTTTTATTCTGGAACTTGTTTCTGACATCATTTTCATTTCTCCAAATTCCTTGTTATCTTTGAGACAAGCATGCAATTTTAACTGCATTAATGTTCAGAATCTCACTAGGCATGAGTAAAGATGATATTTACAAAAAACAGAGCTCTCTGTCACCTCTGTAGAATGAAAAGATGAAATTTATCACTTTTAGAAAGCCCCCTTCTGTCAAGATCATACAAGTACTTCTTTTGTATAACAACATTAAGAACTGAAAATATAAATAAGCCAAATGT